CCCTGAGGCTTGTCAGCTCGTACACGACGCGAACAACTATGAGCTTCTTGCGAGGCATTACATAAAATTATCAGAAGAAGAACTAGGTAGTCACGTGTAAGTGATGTTCTCAGAACTTATATCTGCTGGTGAAATATTAAATTTGTTATACGGACTTTGCTGACATTCGATCATAGTAAGCTATGCTAGAGTTTTCGATTTTCGATTAGCACTGCTTGCAACGAGATGGACTGTACGCCTCAAGACGCAGCGCCTCATGAGGGCATCCTTTCCACCGCGCCGTATCCCCCGGCGCCTTATCCCCGGCGTCTTATCCCTCGGCGCAATTTCTGCCGGAGTCGTTCTCTCAGCGCCGTACTCGCAGGGTCATTCGTGACGCGCCGTTTCAGCCGGCGCCGTCCGCGCCGCGGTGTTGTGACCCGCGACGTTTTCGCAGCGCCGTTCTTGCGGCGCCGTTCTCGCAGCGCCGTTCTTGCGGCGCCGTTCTCGCAGCGCCGTTTCTGATCAATCCAGCGTCTGAGCACTGAGTAAAGCGCTTATTTATGCAGGAATCGAGGTAATGCGGAGGGTTGCACGAATCACGCTGAACGAGAGCTCTGAGGACTCCAAGCGGCTCCAGAATCGCGTGGAAGCTAGCGCCGTGAATTTTCGACACTATGGCACAAACCGCGAAGATCTAGGTGTTCGCGGAAGAAGCTTATGAAGCGTCAAAAGCGGATCACCTTCGTGACGCTGAGGACGAAGTACCCTCGGTCTGTATGCGCGATAAACTTAAAGACGTTTTCACGTCAAAACCAACAAGGCATAATCACGGTTCCATTTGGAAACTTGCTGCACAACCTCGTAGGTATCCCACAAGCGCCAGTGTGAGGGAAGTGCTCACCAGCGCTACTATTTTCTTATCAAAATCAGCGTACTTTTTGCGTTTCGCGGCAGCCTCGTTCCCACGCTCAAATCTTGCGAGCGTCATGTCACGAGGGCTCTGCACCTTTCGGAGCCCGTTTATAAAGCGCCACAGATTGGGATGACGAACGCCGAACTCCGTCTGAAGCCGGCGGTGAGCAGCTTCCGCAAAGTTATCGGTGCGCGAGCCATTTCATAGTCAAACCCGTTTCATAGTCACTTGAGATCGCGGAGGGAGCCAAGGCAGGCCAGGCTGCGACTAAGAGTTCGATCATTCGTGGGTAGGATCTTTGGCTTTTGTCCGGTAATAACGCGTAGCAAACCGGGAGCACGAAATCCCCGCGCTCTGCGGGAACCGCGACGATTTGATGAAAGCATGGAGGCGAGAGCCTGAATGTACCATCCACATAAATTTTCCGAGACAGACCAATCCATTCGGCGACGGAGTCGCGCCCGAAAAGAAGAATACGACTTTCATCCCCTTCTTCTGGAAGAAGTTCACGAAATAAGATTGATTCACTGTATTCGAAGGATCGAGCTCGATAACGGGAAATCTATTCCGTAAGGAAATCGGACTCCCACCCGTGTCTCCTATGAGGAACTTCTCGAATACACCGTTCTCACTTTCGAACAGCGCGTATTCCCCGGGTATGACTATTGAGGAGCGATTCTCCGGAGCCACCATCGGACTCATGGCTCGCATACGAGCGCGATCGACTAATCTCGAGAGCGTTTCGGTGCTCGGTAAGATCAATTTCGCGGCTTTTGTCGTCCCTTCGGAAATCCATTCAATCAGCTGTAACGGGGTCTCTTGGCAGTCGATAGCTTTTCGCTTCAGGGAAACTCTCCGCGACTTCGACTGC